TGAGAAGAATGAGGAGCAGAGAGAAAGCTCAGTTTCTGCCTCAGATGAATGGGTGGTGCCATTTCGGGAACAGTTTGGGAGTAAGTTTAGTGAATATAGTTTTGTCTATGTGTACTTTAAGGTGTCAGTAGACTACTGATTCAGATTCAGTTCAGCATTGACTTTCTACTACATACCAGATCAGATGTTGATGTCACTGCTTTCAACGGATTGTAAACTGGTTAAATAAATGAAGCAGATATAATCTATGAGATCAGTGATAAAGGATATCGATACTGATCTTGGGGTCAGAAGAGAGGCCCAATGTAGGTTAACAGGGATGATGAGTCTGAGAAGCTCCTTAGAGGAGAAGGCATCTATGTGGAGGAGCAGGATGGGCAGAGCCAAGCGGGCAGGCTATGCATAGAGCGCCAGCAGGGCTGAGGTCAAGCACAGTGGTTGCTCCCAGAACCTCATTACTGCAACCAGAACATAACACACCATGGAGGAAGTGGCATGAGACAGATAAGGGGAGGGTTCCTGAGGGAACTTTCTGCTATGTTTGACTGTGCCAGATGTTGGAGGGTGGCTTGAAGGGGACAGGAATAATGGGAGGACCAAGTGGGGAGTTGCAACAATAAATGAGGAAAGACATGAGAAGAGATGAAGTCCTGAACCTGGGCAGCATAGTATTGAAGGCGGGAAGGCAATCTATCTGAAAACATTTGGGAAGCAAACGTAGCAAGTTTGGTGATGTGTATGTAGATACTAATGGTGAGGAAGAGGAAAAGATAGGATGGAGAAGGCTCACCAGTTCCTAGCTTGGATGATGATGTAGACAACAGTGCTAACTGAGGTCTGTGAGAGGAAGCCTTTTAGGGACAGGGGATGTAGTACATGCTATGGTTCAGATATACATTGTCCTAAAAGTTCCTGAGGTTGATTCTTGATCCGTAGTGGGGCAGTGGTGAGGGGGAGAACCTTTAAGATGCGAGGCACAGTCCAAGGTACTCAGACAGGGTATCACTCACAGAAGGGATTAATACTATCTCATGAGCATGCACCAGGTCTCATGGAATTGTCTTGAGAATGAGTTGTATAAGCAAACCTGGAACCTTCTTTGAACTCCTCTTCTTTGGCACAGCCCCTTGCCATATGATGCTATCTAACACAAGATCCTTCCCAGAAGCCAAGCAGTTGCTGGAGTCTTGCTTTTGAATCTCCAGAACTGTGAGCTAAATAAACTTCTTTTTCTCTACAACATTTCCAACCTTGGGTATTTTGTTATAAGAACACAAAATGGTCTAACACAAAAGACAACTGCTTCTTCTCATCCAAAAAACAATCTAGTGTAAAATAATGGTTCAGGACCATAGAAATACATACTCCCTTCTCTTGCCTGCATTCCAAAGGAAAAATAAATTTTTCTCTGCACCACTCAGGAAAGAATAAATAATGACCAGTGTGTTTTCAGTGATGAGTTGTGAAGCATGAAGCTGTGAGAACCTGTGAGTATTAGCTGTACATGAATGGCCTTTAGGAAACTGGAGACCTGAACAGCAACAAGAACAAAGATGTACAGTAGCTTTTCATGCTGCCCAGGTAGGGGTCCGAATGGCATTTTTGTTTGTTTTTTTTTGAAAGAGGTAAAATACAACAGAACAAGACAATAAAGCCAACTGAGACTGTGTAGTGAAATTGTACAGAAATTCCCAGCAGGTTACTGGGATAACAGTAATAGGTATCACAGTATATTTCGTTATCTTTAAAATAGTTGTTCTTTCAATCATGTATATCAAAATAAAATGAAATACAGAACATTATAGAACTTATCAAAACAGAATATTGAATAGAGCAGTACCATTAATCAGAATAAAGCAAAGCAGTAATAAAAATATTTGCCTTCAAAGAGATGGTAGAAGGAAATCCTCCTTATTTGCTTCCAAGAGATGCTCAGATTTCTGGTTCTCATTTGCTAAGGGGGGGGGACAGGAGAAGAGGGTAGGGGAAGTGGGATGTTTGACTCTAGTCTGTGCACCAGTAGGTTCACTATTGCTTAGCAGGGAGGCAGGCTGGTTGCTTGGTTTCCCAGCGTTCCAACATGGCACGGATCTCAGGAGACATTGGTGGTTCTCCTCCTGGAAGGGCTGCAGTCTGCCACACCACCACAGCTTACCAGGGAGGCAGGCTGGTTGCTTGGTTTCCCAGCATCCTAAGTTCCAACATGGTGTGGATCTCAGGAGACACTGGTGGTTCTCCCCCTGGCAGGGCCGCAGCCTGCCACACTGCAGCCACTTACTGGGAGGTGAACTGCTTGTTTGGTTTCCCAGTGTCCTAAGTTCACAGATGGTGTGGATCTCAGGAGACACTGTGGTTCTCCCTCTGGAGGGGCCGCAGTCTGCCACACCACAGCCGCTTACTAGGGAGGGGAGCTGCTTCTGAATGGCATTTTTATTGATTTCCATAGTAACTTAAAGGGAAATTTTCACAATGTCTAGAACTCTTGGTGTCCTGCAAATGAAGCAGGAAGATGTCCTCAAATTCTTTGCTGCAGGAACCCATTTAGGCGGCACCAACCTGGATGTCCAGGAGGAGCAGTATATCTACAACAGGAAAAGTGATGGGCTCTGCATCATAAATCTGAAGCCAATCTGGGAGAAGCTTCTGCTGGAAGCTGGAGCCCTAACTGCCATTGAAAATCCTGCTGACATCTCATCCTCAAGGAACACTGGCTAGTGGGCTATGCTGGAGTTTGCTGCTACCACTAAAGCTACTCCTGTCTCTGCCTGCTTCACTCCTAGAACCTTCACTAACCAGATCCAGGAAGGCTTCTGAGAGCCATTTCTTCTGGTGATTACTGATTCCAGGGCAGTCAACTTACATTCCAGTATGTCAACTTGCCAACCATTGCTCTGTGTAACAGATTCTCCTCTGCATTATGTGGACCTCGAGTCCGGGGCAACAATAAGGGAGCTCAGTCAGTGGGTCTGATGTGGTGGATGCTGACCTGGGAAGTGCTGCACATGTGTGGCACCATCTCCCACACAACGCTTGTGGGAAATCATGCCTGCTCTCTACTTCTACAGGGATCCTGAAGAGACTGAAAGGAAGAACAAATTGCTGCTGAAAAAGCAGTGACCATGGAGGAATTGCAGGGTGAATGGGTTGCACCAGCTCCTGAGTTCACTGCTGCTCAGCCTGAGGTTGCAGACTGGTCTGAAGGCTTGCCAGGGGCCCTCTGTGCCCATTCAGCAGTTCTCTATCAAAGCCTGAAGTGCTCAGAATGCTGGTCTGCAGCCCCCAACGTGCAGGCCACTGAGTAGGTAGGAATCACCATCAAGTGGTCTTGAGCTGTTCTGTAGACATTTCAGCAAAATGGGAATGAGGTTGATGGAAAATAAAACATCATTTAAAAAAATATATAGGAGTACAAAATGTTACTGAGAGGGGCGGTGTCACAGAACTGGAGAATTTGACCTCAGAATGCGGAACTTGGAAAGGACTAGACAAAGGCTGTGTGACCATAGATGGAGTTGCAGCAGGACTGAAGGGGGCAGATTCCAAGAAGCAGGTGGCCTGGGAAACTGGCTAAAGATCCTCTAGAGACCTCCAGAAGTAGGGCAGGATGGGCCATGAGAGGGGGTGGTTACGATTTGAAACTTAAAGCTACTCTGAAATTGAATGTCATTCAGTTTTTATTTTACTTGCACTGAGCTTTTTCTCATGCTTTTTTCCTCATGTTCTGCCTTATAGGCACCTTTCTGTGTCCTTGGGTATGTTAGATCAGAGACCAGGTCCTAGGAGAGTGACATCTGTAAATCTCTGGTGGACCTTAATCCTCAAAGAAATCTGGCTTTTGGGGAGTCTCTAGACCTGATAGTTTGAAAACAATGTCTCCTCTCAGCATTTCCTTTTTTATGTCAAATTTTAGTTTATATTTTTGGGAGATTTAAAAAATTTTTCCTATTTGATCTTTAGTTAATTTTTCCTTGGACATTATTTTATTTGCTGTATTATTTTGGAATGCTACTGTTCACAGCCTTGTCTAATAATATGAAAATCTTATCTTTGATTGAAAGGCATCTGAAATTGAAAACTTAGACTTGAATGATTCTAGGGCAAGCTGCTCAAAGTCATCTTTTGCTTTGTTCTGTTGGTGGATTAGCACTCTTCTCACTAGGAAAGAGCTGAATTTGATGAAGTACAGTTGTTCTTCAGTATCTTTGGGGATTTGTGATGGGCATTCGCCACCAGACAACAGAATCTGTAGATGTGTGAGGCTGTTATATAAATCGGTAGTATTTGCATCTAACCTACACACATCCTTCTGTATACTTTAAATAATCTCTAGATGACTTATAATACCTCACACTGTGTAAGTGCTGTGTAAATAGTTCTTATACTGTATTGCATAGGAAATAATGACAAGGAAAAAGTCTGTATGTGTTCCGTACCGAACCAGCCAACACAGGGGTAACTGCATTTCTGATTCCTAATTGATTATACCCAAAGATACAAAATGTATGGATGTGAAGTACCAACTGTGCTTTTAATGAGAAAGAGTAAGGTAACAAATTTTCTTCCCAACTTTTATTATCACAAAATGATTGGGTTACAAGGTTCAACAGAACAGAGTTAGACTTGCCATCCCTCTGATGAAACCTCAATAATTTAAAAGCTTAAGTTAACAAATATGAAGCTAGATTTAGTCTTTCTCTCTTTTCGGTCGCATCACGTACTTCTAAGAGGCAAAAGGAACAATTTTTTTTGCTCATACATACAAAAGCTGATAAATTTCCAGTTTCCATTTAATCCTATCTAGGATTACCCTAGATGGAACTAATAATTGAACTTTTACCTTTCTCTAAAGACTTAGGAAACAGCTGGGGACCTAGCTCAGCGGCATAAGTGCCTACCTCGCAAGTGTGAGGTCATGAGTTTGATCCCCACTACGACACACACACACACACACACACACACACACAAAGGCTAGCAAAAGACTTAGGAAACAAATTCATAAATAGCTCATATAAATATGTTTTACTTTTTAAATAATAAAATTTCCAACATAGATAATTCATTAAAATGAAATCTTATGCCCCATAGCAATCTCAGGGCATATTAAATACATAAATAACAAACTTAGATAAACAAACAAGAAGCAAATTAAACCTTCTTCTCTAGTGAGAGAGGACGGTGATTCTGATTCCATCTTGGAACAGTATTGCTTCCCAAATCTCAGTAGGATGAGCTTCTTAAGAACTCTAGCAAGTTTGGTCTGAAGTGGGGCTGGGTCTTAGGAGGACAAGGGTTCTTGAGTGCTAGGTCTGCTCTTCTGGCGAGTTGGGCTCTCACCAAAACTCTTAACCCACGTGGCGGACGATGGGGGTGACACAGGTGCAGCCCACGGTCACCTTCATCTTCTCCAGGCGGAAGGAAAGCGGGCAGTTCTGAGGTTCCCTCTGCAGGACCAGGATCTCTTGCTGGATGGGGACGGAGCTCACATGGTGGTCCTCCTTCCCCGCTGCATTGACACAGCCCGAGTAACGGCATTCTGCCTCCCAGATCACAGGTGGGTATCTGTTGGGGTTCTCGTTACGGCTGCAAGGGAGACCAAGGCCAAGTGGTAAAGTGAATTCCAGGTAAAGCAGAAAGTGAATCAAACATGAATAAACAAAAGGAGAAAAATTTATTGGGGGACAAATCATAGGCACTGCAAATTTGTAAGTGGTTAAGGTTGAAGAATTTTGGGAAACACTTGGATGTTTAAAATAATTAATGCATTGCATTGCCTTGTGCATGCAAGATGCACATTGTAGCACTGGACTGCACTTCTAGCCCTGAAACTTGGACTTTCAAGCAGATTAGTTACTATAGAAAAAAAGATATCATTTCTCCACTCAATTTCTTTGAAAAATGAATGAAATAAGTTAGACCACAGAAAGGACTTAAGCATGACACAAAAGATAAAATTTTAGGGTAAATTTGATTGAGAAAACAAAAAGCCGAAAGCCAGAGTAGACTGGGAATGATCTAGGAATAAGATAATTAATTGTCTGATTTGATTTGATGAAATTTGTCTTGGGAAGCAGGATTACATCAGGGTTTTACTTTGAAAGCATTTTCATGAGCTGCAGCTGAGTGGGGATATGAAGCACTGGGAACAGAAGCTTAAGTCCCTCTCTTACCTTCTCTTTCCTTTCTCCTCCAGCTGAATAAATGATTTGCTTTGACTTTTGATTTTTTGGGACAAGGCAAAGAAATCTTACAGATAGGTCTGGACATTTCTTATAACAGGCTTGTTTGCATAAACTCAAATGAGCAAAGTTCATTTTTTATCGAGTCTTTGATGGAGTCTAAATAGTGGGACAGAGCAAGTGTGGATATACTAGGGATGTAGAACGAGACTGTCAGAGGAGCAGAAACACCCAGCATGTTACTTTCTCCCTTAAACTTGAGCTATATTTCCCCAGGGTTTATAACTTTCCCCCAAAAGATAAGCACAAAAGCCTGAGTTGATTATTTAGTTATTTTCAATAAGTCCTCTTAATAACAGAACTGGTAGAAAGAATTAAAAAAAAAATGAATCCTCTATCATAAATGTCTAAGTTTTTGAACAAATAAACAAGGGATTCAAGGTCTCATAAATGTTTGAATAAAGATTACTGCTAATTTGGGGTAACTGTTTGTTGTCAGTGTCCATGAGCTCCATCAGGATTAAGTGTCAGGAGTTTCCATGAGCTGTGCTCTCTTGAAAGTGGTCTATACTATGATAGTTTGAGAATCACGACTGTGCACAATCACTCCTTCATGTTTGGCTGATTTCTGGGCAAGATCATCGTAGGGCTGACTTAACTGGCAGGATGATGCACAGGAGAGGTGAAGAACACAGAGATTTTATCTGAGACTCTTACGTACTGGAGAGTCCAAGGTGATGTGGATCGTTTGTAGTAGTCTGAAGACCTTCTGGAATTCACATTTTGGGTAAGAGGATTGAAGATGCTCAGGTTGAGCTTGACATTCTGGAGGAAGTTCTTGCCTTCAGTAGCAGTTGGACACCCTGGATTTCGTGGGATTGGTATTCCTGCCTTCACTGTAGCCATCAGACTCAGCAGCAGCAATGATCGGAACTGCGTGGTAAAGAAGAGAGAGATGAGAGGCTGCGTTAGCCTGTGATTTTTGTTGGCAAGTTTATTTTGATGATTGCTAATATAATAACAAACATTATATTCTGAGAAAAACTTCATATAAGTTAGTTGAAAAACTATTAGATGGCCCAAATCATGTGAAGACTGGACTATTGACAGTACCCACTATCAACATCTTTCTTTTGACTTAGGAAAAATAACGTTATACACTGGCTGGCAATAATTTCAGTAAAATGCCAAGCCACATCATGTCATCAGCCCAACTGCAAATGCATCATTGTCAGGTCAATGGGAGAACAAATAACTTTAATATTCTAGGAGGAAATGTCTTTCTGCACCCTGTTCTTAATCCTACCATTCTTTCAAACATACACCTTGGAAGCAATGGCTGTGGAAAATCCATTGTGTGTCAGTATTCATGTTAGAAATGATACTTGCACCACTGGCGAAATATGTAACTAAGAACTAGCTGTCCTTTATATGTTCTGAACACATTTTTCTGAATTCACAATGCATCAATTCTGTAATAAAATTGCATTTCAAAATAGATTTTTAAATAAAATCTTTTATAACATTCATTTATTCTAGAGCACATTTAAACATATATCTTACTAAAATATATAGTTTTAATGTACTAGGCTATGGCATAAACACAATGGAAATAAAGTTTGTTTTTACAGCTTCCAGGTCCTCAAGGATAGTAACCCATTTTAATATATATTAAAGAAAAGTGCCGTGGGAGTATATTAAATACTCTGAACTTCGGAAAACAGATTGACAATAAGCATTCTTTTTTACTGCACAGCATCATGAGACACTCCTTATGTGGTTTAGCCCCAATATAACAATCTTTCAGTTTTAATATCAGCTTTCAAACTGATGTGTATCAGTTCCTGAAAATGTGCAACGATTTAAGCATCTACCAAATGTTTCATTTCTTATCCTACATACACAAAACTCACAGATTTCCAACAGAGACCAACATTTCATGCTACAGTCCAGAAATGTAATCTGGTCCAAGTCTCTAAGTGCAGTGCACATCAGTACAGGACTCACCATTGAAGAAGGCGTCCCAGGAAGCATCGCTGCTTTTCCCAATCAACCGGGGTTGGATGCGCTTGTGTTTGCTGTGAGGTGGACAGAGTGCAGCATTACCTTCTGCTTCTTATAGTCCTTACTCCCTGTGTGGTCACATGCGTTGGCGTGTCACAGTGGGTTTGAGGGGTGACACTCTTTTGATGAAAAGTTCCGTCCCCAAATGAGGTCAGAGAAGAACCACCCCTTCGTATGTGCTCTGGAGACAGGTGGCAAGGGTGGAAGGTCACGTTTCTACAGACTGCATCCTTCCCTTTTTCACCAAAGAACTAGTGTTTGTTGGAAGCACAGCAAAAGTACAAGCACATGCTTTACTAAGGGCCAGAGCTCATATTTAAGGACATATCTGAAGCTGCCATAGCTATGTTCCATTTTAGTGCCTATTGTGTAAATAAGTATATGACATAGTACACAATTCTTCTGGTACCCTGTGCCTTGATTTTCCACTTGAGTTTTGCGTTCGTCACCAGAGTCTCTGGCAGGAAATAGTAGCACTATTATAGAAACTACTTAAGGCCCTGTCATATAAAAAACTAAATAAATAATTAACAACAGGACACATAATATTTAACTGAGTTTAATAATTGTTTTGTTGTGTATCTACTCAGATCAAGGAAGTAACAATGTTGAAGATACATGAGATTTGCTATTTAGGCATGCCCAGTCACTGTATCCCTTTCAGTGCTGGTCATCATATCGAGGACCTCTCATATGCTAGGCAAATGTTCAACTGCTGACCTTGTGCCCCAGCCTGAAGGTTGAAGTTCATGAAATTCTTTAAGGAGGAGTGAGATGAGCATTGAAGCATCAGGGAAGATAGCTGGACAAAAGGAGAACGTAATTGCAGGTGGAGATGGAGACCAAAGAAAGATGATGGAGGTAGAGAGAAGGAGGCAGCAGGAGCAGAGAGTAATAAGAACAGGAAAAGAAGGAAAGGGAAAGCAATACTTTCTGCCTTTCTAGTCTGTCAGTGACACGATCTTTGATGTCAGGTCCTTGAGAATAGCTTCATCTCAAAAACAGAAAAACAGGACACACATGATAACGCTAGGGAGGAGGCGCCTGTGGATTCCGATTGGTGTGGCTCCATGTCATCTTGTCTGTAACTACCTGGTGCCAGATGTACCCCTTTATACAACACAGGTCTTCACAGGGAGCTTCCATGCTGCTGCGTCTTCGATACCTGGCCAGTCATTCAGTTGTCTCTGGAATTGTATGTCCTTTGTTTACATATTGACTTTTTGCTGAGCCAAAGGTCACTTGAACACAGGTGCCTATTACATTAGTCTTTGTATCACTTTGCATCATGTGTTGTCAATAGTAAGTGTCCAATATTTTGATTAATTTATAATATGAGCAATGCTACTTCAGAGGTTCAGAATCTTTTTTTTTTTAATAATCCAGATGCATCTTAATGACCCTGCTAAGTTACCTAATGGCTTGGCTGTCTACTCTGATCCTTTTGATGGTACTGTGATGGAGTCGCAGTCTGTCCTTGTCACCCTAGAGTAGGGCTTCCTTCTTGCTGCTTTTAGCAAGGATGAGGTAGAAGAATTTTCTTGTGATCAATTTTTTTTACAGGTGGTGATGGGAAAAAATTGACCCTAGTCATTCTTCCCAGTCCAGTGCTGTTTCCCATGCCTGTGTGCCGTTCTTTGAAATGTCAATTCTTATTGACATTATTTTGATGTCATGATTGAAGCTGGGGGTAATTTCTCAATCATAGGCTTAGCCCGAGCTAAGCTTGGAAGGGTTGTTCTTCCAGTTTGAGGAGTGTGTGAAAGCACAAAGAAGGTGTGCAGAGTGACGGGGCCCTTCCTTTGTTTGTTTCGGGGAGATGCTGGTTCGAGTTGCACCTAAGTCTTCTGAGGTAGAAGGAATGCTGGACTGAAGGTCAGAATGTCTAGAACACTGTGTGAGAGGACACTTTTGTTTTCACTGTGGTTCTGGGTCTTTTTGAGTCTTAGTTCACCTTTTTGAGGGTTAGTTTTTTGTTCTATAAAGTGAGTTTTTATACCAACTAGAGTTTGATTGTCGAATTTGGAGAAAGAAAATGATAAGGAATAAACAGGAGCAGTAAATTGGAGATGATTATTTTGCTTAGTGGTTATCTTCAGGTTTACCAATCTTGCTTTTCTGAGGGCTTGAAGCAGATGACCAAAAGAGGTGAGGACCCTGCAGGGGTCAGGGTTAGGAATAGGAGCAGAAGGCGAGGAACAGGTGAACAGGAGGACTTTTTAGCCGCTGAGTAATTATTTGAAGGGATGATAGAAATGAAATTTTGTGGGCTTATAGATTTAGGGAAATAATTTTCAAGGCTTTGAAATTATTAGGCCATTAAAAATCATTCTTTTCTACTTATAATAAAGAATAATACAAAGAATGATAGAAAAATTCTTACTTTAGTAGCTAGGAGAAAGTACTGTGGAGTCTTGTTTAATGTGTTGGAAACTTGCATGTTGCTGAAAGTATGAAACAGTTTATTTTTATTTATTGCTTAGCTTGTAAGATTACCATGAGAGACTATTGTCTCATTAAATTCTATTCTGTAGTCTTTTTTTTTAAAAAAAACTCACAATGAATGTAATCACTATGTATTGCAAACATGTACTAATGAAAAAGCACAAGCAAGAACAAGTCAAAACAATTCAAAACTAAATTTAAAATATTATACTGGTCTCTGCAAAAAGGAGGCCCTGTATCATTGTTAAAGAATTAATATGTACTGAATTTAAAAATGACTATTTGAGGAGGTAAGTGCTATTTTGTTTAATGGTGTGCATCAGACAGACTGTATCTTTCTTGATCTTGGTTTTTATTGAATGAGATAATGAGTAACTGGGGAGAATTCTCTTGTTGTTTTCTCTTGTAAGATTACCATGAGAGACTATTGTCTCATTAAATTCTACTATTGGTTTTTGATATTTTTCTTACTTAGTTTAGGTCAGGTTACTTTGATGGACTTGGATCATGAAACTGTTTGGACATGTTTAAAAAATAAAGCAAATTTTTATGTTCAAAATAACATCAAACAGTCATTACATTATCCATGTGAGGTGTCTGATTAAAAAGCCTGTCTCTGATGAGTTTTAAAAAGTGTGTAATATTTGTGTTACTTGAGCAAAAGGGATTTTTTTCTGAACACGTTCTCAATGGAGAACTCAAAGCCTGGAGCCAATGTATGGAAACTGATGAGAGGGTAAAAGATCAATCATATCACGTCATCTCAAAACAACCACACTACATCCCTGAAGTCTATAATCAAACAGGTCATTTGAGCATGTCAGTTTCTCCTTTAAGCAATACGATTAACCTCATGGAAACCAATCCTCTTCCTTAGGTGAATTTCTCACTGATCTTTTACTGAAACACTGATTTAAAGTGGGTCAGAAAACTTTCCATTTTTTCAAACAAATGAACTCAGAAATATGTATCTACAAATTAGCAGGTACATGCAAATTTATTTCACTGAGGTGCCTTCCTTTTGGTAATGCTGACTTCATCTAATACTCAAAGAATCAAGGTCAGCAAGTGACTGGTTTCAGGTCTGAACGGATGTCACTGGAAAGCATGGTCTAAAATTAAACAAGCAAACCAAACCACACATTGTGGTTGAGCTATCAGGTTATCATCTTTATTTTCTTTTGAGCAATTTTGAAGTTAATATGATTTCAAAAACTATAGAATGTATTTAAAAGGAAAGGTACAGCATTTGAACTTGGAAAAAGTTGATAATTACTTTTTCTTTTCTGAACAGTCTAGAGGATGAGATGGTGACATGGTGGCTCATGAATTGGAAACATGGTATAATCAGGACATAATGATGATGTATCCCTTTATTTATTTGGAGAATTTGAGACAGTTTATAGCAAAAACTTGGGTAATAAAGCAGGACAAATATGAACCAGGCACTGGGAATGTAGAAATAGAAGTGAAAGCAAAGATCTTGGCAAGGAATACTCAAAGCCAAATCGCTAAGACTTCCTAGTAACCAAAGAGAAAAGGAAATAGACACAGTAACATAGTTGTCATGATGAGAAAAAAGCTAGCAAATTCCTTAAAGTAGGTAGCTTTTTTCTTTATCTTTATGTTTTGAAATAAATTTTCATCAGGGGCTTATAAAAGACCTTGAATAGTATAAGGGCAAGTTACGTACAAGTTTTTAGATTCAGATATTCCCCAGTATCAGGTGGCAGCTTCACCTTAGTGACTATCTGTCCTAGGACAATCACATCATATACATTTCAGCTTATTTACCTACAAAGTGGAAGTAGTAATGACACATGCCCCTTTGGTATATGGTTGTGAGGAATAAATTAAATAATACACATAATAAATAATAAATTAAATAATACTGGCATGTGCCATGTGCTCAAAGAATGTTGATAAAATATGCATATTTATAGATTTGACTAGGGATAAAAATCCTTTTGAAGAAAGGGGGATATTAGGTCTGAAGAATACTGATTGTGTGCTCATTAGAATATCTACTTACACTGGTTAACAAATCAGTCTTCTCAGGTAGACAACCTGGAAAACAGAGCATATCCAAACCTGGATAGCACGCACAAGCATGCTGATGACTAGAAAAGTCCCTGGTACAATTATTAGGCTGGTAGTTCTAGTTTTCATATTGCTGCACAGAAAATAAATGAATTACAATGTTTATATTGCACTGAACTTAACCCAGAACTCCATTCCATATCTGTCTATAGCTCTATTATCTATCAGTCATCTATCTGTGTATCAGTCATTATCTATCTGCATATCAATTATTATCTGTTTATCTCGCTATATATCTAGTCTCATAATTCTAGTTTTTAGAAAAGCTTTTGAAGTATACTTTCCATTGGTATTATTTTCAATGTTTTGTTTCAGAAAATCTATTTTATTCTACAAAATCATGCCACATTATAATACTATTTGTAACTATTTTTTCCTTATAATATCTTCTAAACAATTTCCCCCTCTGTTTTTAGTTTTGCATGAACGCGTGTGCATGTGTACATGTGTGTGTGTGTGTGTGTGTGAGAGAGAGAGAGACA